AAAAAAAAATCATTCTTTAATTCTCCCCGCGGCATTCAAATCCCCAGAGAGAGATATATCCCGGAGCCACTTCGTTTATCACGATCGCAATCTCTTTCTCTCGCCAAATAAATGCAGATTTTTATGTTTCAATTAATTTCAAGTTCTCTACATCGGATCTTAATATTCGAGATTCACACGTTTCTCTTGTGGTGATACTAATGGGGTGAGAGGGACAAGTTAAATATGTACCTGACGAGCTTTTTTCACCTCGCCACGGTGATTTTGTCGTTTTTTTTTTTACGCTGTTGAATGAACACTTGAGCATTCTGGTTAGTTAATTAGAATAATTCTGGGAGTCGCCCCTGTTGTAGTTTAGCCCTCGCAGGCGCCGCTGGTGGTTTCACGCTACTTCAAAGACTAGTTCACAATATTTGCATTTTAAATGAAGCTATGGCGTGTCGGGTACTTTATATTTGAACATTGTACTCCGTTATCGGTAAAAAATTTTCGATTCTCCATACACAATCCTCCAGCCCTCCAATCGAAACGTCAAAAATCACTGAATTCATTTACACAATTAATTCCATTCTGGATAATCGACGTACGAGTCGTTAATTACTCGGGTATGAATTACAAATTCTTCGGACGCCGGTGGAACGAAAAATAATTAATATTTGAATTTAAATTGAAGTGCGAACGAATGAAAAAATAAATAAAATGAAAAACAAACCGTAAAATTGCGGTACACCGGTGACAATCATTGGTGAATCGATATTAATATTTCAATTGATGACATAAAAATTTAACGTACCTGTTGATATTCTTAAGGATTGATTTTACAGTCGTAGAAACTCCAGTGAGATGAATCCCCCTCGTCTGAACACCGTTATGTCCTCTTTTATATTCTCGCACTTGCCAATATGATTTATCAATACCCCAGGATTGTCTATCTCATCCTGCCGCTCGGCAAATGGGAAACCATGGCACAGTAATTCGTAAACGTCAATTATTCATGCACATTACGTCGAAACATCACCCCCGAGATATTTCAACTCACAAATAAAACCGATAATCACTCAATTACAGATAACGAGACTGAGTCGTACAAAGAATGATCAATACTCTAGTTTTTCCTCCAGGCGATGAGGAAATGAATTGAAAAAAAAAAGTAAAATTCTTGTCGAGTGTTGATGAGAATATGCGGATGATGTGAAGTTGAACTGTTGGACCGAGACTGTTGGCTCTCGAAGAAGCCGAGAAGAAGTTGGCGGCGTGAGTGCGGGCCCTCGTGTCGTGGAGCAGTCAGCAGCCCAGGTAAAGGACAAGGAGTGGAGGGAATTGGAGGTACGGTTTGTAAGTTGCGTGTCTGCGGTGACTCCTGAAGGAGTGTGTGAGTGGATAAAGGCTACCGTGCAGGATATACAGGAGTTTAAAAAAAAAAAATGATGCCACAAGACGCGGAGTGAGGATGATGATGGGAGGACGATGTGATCCAGTCAGAGGACACGCTAGATCTGCACTGAGTGGTGAGAGTTCACGGGGTTGATGATGTGTCGAAAAAAAATTCTTCAAGTTCGTTGACAAAAAAAACTTGGAAAAAATAAATTGGGAGAACGCTGTTAGCTGGCTCTCGGGGGTTTATGGTGTGTGTGGCGTGTCGGTCGCGTGGCACCTTGTACCCCCGTTGTGAATAATGCACCGGGTGGGGGGGTGCTCTGGGGGACCAGGAACGCGCGCGCA